AATATATAAACTAATAATAAAAGATACTATGCAAATAGAAATTAAAACAGTAATGAAGAATAAGGTAGTATACAGATGGGGACTCTGTATTTTTCACTCAATTTTTTTCTGTAAACCTAAAACTGCTCAAAAAGTAATTTAAAAAAGTAGAATAGAAAATAGAAATTCAAAACAAAGAACAATCTATGTAAGTGGGAATCATAATCTCATTTAATTCAATGACCTCACCAACATGAAATAATATCAACCGGTTTAACCCTCAAGGATCTAGTCTTCTTTTGAAGCCATTGTCTATATCACTTATCAGAAATCAAATTCAGTATTACAGCATCTCTTATATGGTTGTTTTATAGGTTTTTTTATATTAATCAACCTTTAGATTGTTATGTGACTACCTAATCACATGGTTATATCTTATCTCTCCAAATAAAATGTAAGTAACTTAAGAGTAGAGAAAAAAGGCAGCATGTAGCACAGCGTCTTTAACATAGCAGAGATAACTATATCTAGCTATTTACAATTTATAGTTTATTCAACTGTAAGTGTCCAATATTTGCCAATTAACTGCAAAGTGATGATGGGGTACCCAATATTAATGAGGTCCCCTAGAATATAAAGGACTTTTCTCTCTTTGTACTTCATGTAATTTGCTTTCAGCGGTTGGATTATGAATTTTTCAATTTTGGGTTTCCTATTTAAAATGAAGAGCATTTTTACAAAAGGCTATAGGAAGACAGAGAGAAAGTACAAATGTGAGTTAGCACACACAGAAGGAAGATGGTTTGGGGCTGTGTAGTGTTCCTTCACTCTTTTCTCTTTCCTGGCTATACACTGTTAGTAGCCTTCTGTAACAAAAGGAGACTCCTACCTGAATATTTACCCCTATCTAAAAATTCAAATCCACTCTAGAAATTCCAGCCAGTAAAGGGACCAGATGCTGGTATCCATCAATATCAATGTTATGTTGCTGGTATCCTACTAATTCTCCTACCAATAGGTTTGTTGATCAGTATAGGAGGCAGCAAGGGTTTTGGAAGTTTTATCTAGACAACAATAATTCCTGTGTTTTTGTACGAAGATCTTAGAGGGCTGAAAGAGGTCATACCAATATCCTTTTCTTTATTAACTAACAACTTAAGTTTTTGGGCATCCCATACCATGGCTTCAGGAGATTAAGTGTGATCTTTGAAGATTCATCAAGAGTTGCAGTTCTGGGAGCTCAATAATGACCTACCTATGCTCTCTACTCACCTCAGAGGTTTCAGGAGTTCAAATGACACAGAAAACTGCTTTACGTGCCAATAGCTGCCACACCCTGCTCTAAGGCATACCTCTCTGCCTATTAGAAATATCAAACATACCTCCATGTGTAGCCATTGTCAACAGAGAAACAGCCCAGCTAGGAAAACAGCCAAAAAGCTTTGACTGGAAAGTTTTCAAAGTAGGCAGACACTCTGGTTTAGCCTTTAATAAAGTATGTTTGGAGCAACATAAATAATATATTAAGAATAATAGTCACCAAAGGGCCATTAATGTTATTGGATTTATGACATCTTTTAATAATCTTCTATTATTATTGTATCTTCTAAATCCCAAAGCACAGGAGACCATAGCCTGGAGCTGTATCCACCACCTGCATTCTCAGCCCATCAGCATCTCTCTTGTTCTCATCCATCCTCATCTCTCAAAATAAATTCCACTCTCTATCAAGGACCTCCAAAGAAATAGAAACACAACACCAAGGCATTCATTGGCTGTCTTTTTTTTCTTCCATTCCATGCTTTAGGTCATGCCAGTGTCCTCTTTGCCTATATTACTATGTCCTCAAAATATTGAGTAGTTGCCTGAAATCTTTTGTAACCATTCTAAACAGTGTTAAAACCTGAAAAACAGAATTGCACACCTGAACACCCCTCCCCCAAATACAGAAACCATATTCCTCAGCTACCACAGAGAATCCAAGTTCCAGCAGCAATGTTCTGAAACCCCTGGAGGCCCCTCTAAAAAGGCAGAGCTCCAACTAGCCCTATGCCTACATGCATTCAATATTTACTGAGTCCTACCACATGTAAAAGGCTCTGTGTCATGCCCTTCTTTTGTAGGAAGCCATTCTTTCCTAATCACACTCGTCCGTACTCTCCACCCACTCAGGTAGTCCCTTTGCCAACTCCTAAGAACACCGCCTCTTTCTCAGACTAAGGCCTTCTCCCAATGCTTGCAGCCTTAACAGCTCTTCTTTATTCACCTAACTTCCCACATTATTAGTACTTCTTAAACTGGTCTAAAACCTCTGCTGAACAATTTCTTTCTTTCTCATTATGGGCTGACAGCTATCTCTAGTTACCACACTAACATTCTGACATACACTTAAGTTTACATATTACCTTTGAGCAGTGGTTCTCACTTTATGTACATCAGAATGACCTGAAAAAATTGGTAAATATACAGTCTTCTGGGGTAAAGAATACATTTCTAACAAGCTCCAAGGTGATGCTCATGCTGCTGGTCCAGAGACCACACTTTGGAAACTATCACCTTTGAGAATATGATAAAAGCTATGAAAAACTGCACATACATATAATATTTGCATGCAATTTCAAGCAATTCATGAATGCCCACTTACAGATACCTTCTGTGCTGTATTTCTTTCTAAGGGATGTTTAGGACACAGTGTTCCCTGATGTGACCATAAGAAGTGCTAATTGTGGTACAGATGTGCATGCCAATACCTCCTACAAATGAGGAGGAATGCTTGGCATTGGAAAATCAATTCTGTACAATGCGCTGCCCCCTTCAGTCTCACCTGTCTCTCACATGCATGTGATGATTTTTCTGTACCTCTGGTTTAATTCCCAGGAAAAGACTAAGAGGCTCTTTGGAATCACTCAAATAAAACCATATTATAGGTGAAGAAGTGATCTGGTAGAAAGAACATAAATACTGGATTAAGACAAAACTAGACTGAAATTCTGGTTCTGTCTTTCTTAAAGTTATGATCACTAAGCCTCAACTTCTTCACTTATAAAATTGGGGATTTTCCAGGAAAATCATTTTTTCCCTTCTAGGCAAAGGTTATATGAAACCCCCATGAGGATGAAAGGAGTGGTGGTTCTACCATTTAAAACCAATGATTCTTATGTACGGTAAGGAATTTAAGTGTTGAACAGCAAGTGAATGTCTAAATTAAGAAAATGAATTAACTGAACTAAATAATCTCTAAGATTCTTTCAAATCTAACACTTTGCATTTATGAACTCTGGCCCACATAAAATCACTCACTTATATTATCTATACATACTCAACAATCATTTATTTAACTCAGCACAGTAAACTCTTTAAAAAACAATTATACCTTTATTTCCCTTCTCTACACTAATAACATTCCAACACCTACTGGAAAAATAAATATAAATAATAATAAGCTTTTCTCCTTCCCTCAAATAGGCCTGTGTAAATTACATCTTAATCAGAACAGAAAAGCCCTTCTGAAGAAGCTTCCCTCTGTATTTCCTCAACAGATAGCCAGAGTTTACTTTAATTTTTAATTTAGTAAATTTAGTAAATTTCTTTATTCAGTAAGATCTCTCAGGATTTGGCTGTTACAGATATAGCTCAATTCTATATATTTTAGCTTTAAAAGATCTATCAGGTATTCTTTTCTCAACCTACAATCCTATAGTTTATTGCAAGAACCCACACACTATATGTAATGTGTGAATATGTACAAATATCTATCAGAATTACCCCCTAAATCCCAGGTTCTATGAATCTATAAATTACCTAAGCATCAGGCAATTAGCACTAAACATACCTCTTGTAGAAGACGTGGATCCAGGCAGTCACCATCATCATTAAACATAGACTCCCAGCTCTCCTCAATGGCAGCACTTTCTTCCATGTAAGAAGTTTTAGTTGCTTTCATTTCCATGGATTTTTCCACAGACAAAGAGTCTATATCAGGAAAGGATACACCAAATTCTATATTCTCTGAGTCATCTTCCTCTTTCGTTTTGAACTCTTCAGCAGTTTTTAGTTCATTCAATGCCTCTGCTATATCACCAGTACAATCTAGATCATTGCCCAAGGCACTGTCTGATAGTACTGTCCCATTTAACATACTGAGTTCAGAGTCCAAAAAAGTGTTACAATTACTACCAGCAATCTTCTTTATAGGTAAGGAAGAAGCAGAATCTGACAAGCTCTCTATCAACTTTCCTGTTGACTTTGTGAAAATAGATGAAATACTCTCAGCATAAATATCTGAGCAAGCAGTCAGGTTGCTGAAATTTTCAGTGTCATTACCACTTCCAGCTGTATGAAGAGGAGCTGTATCTGCACTCATTTCTAAATATTCTGAGGAATTACTTATGTTGCTACAGGCCCCATCAACTATTCTAACTGCAACTCTACAAGAGCTGCCTACAGCTTTCTGATTGGGCATGACATCTGTAATGTCTATCATACATGCCTTATTGGTAATGTCACCTAAGCTCTTAGAGCCATTTTCTGTAACTGTTTCATGAGGAAGGAAAGCTGCATCAGAAGGTTCATACTGTACACATAACTCATCAGCAGTGCTGTCATTCTCATACTCTCTAATCATTGTTGAATCAAAAATGCCATTTGTGCTCTCTAATTTGGGGATTACAGTCATTCTATGAGAGATGTTACTCACGGTATCAGGAATGGAATCTATACTTTTCTGACCCAACATGAAATCAGTATTGTTGGATCTATCACCAACATTCTCAGCTTCAAAGTCTACACAAGTTTGGTCAGTGACACCATCCGGACTTCCAGGAACAGAACTCATGGTGACACCTCCATTGCTGAGCTTCAACACTCCACCTGAGGTTTGCATGCTTTGTTGTACAATCCCAGAATCAGAAGTTGGTTTTACTGGTACAGTCATACTCTGAGATGTCAACACAGAACTAAAAACTCCAGGAAACTGGGATAGTATCGCCACAACCTTGGTATCAGTTTCAGTTCTGCTTTCCAAACCTCTGTCTTTACATGCTTCCCCACTTAATTCATGCCTACTGAAATCACAGAATTCCTTATTTTGTAATGTTCTGTTTATCAGAGCTTGAGCCTCACTGGTTTCTGAACAAGACTGAGGGAGAGGCAACCTCTCATGTCTTGTCACATCTGTGGTTCCAACCTCCAAACACTTCACCTTCAGTGGTTTTAAATGTCTTTGTAAAGGTATACTAGGTATAATCCCAGGATCTGGGACTCTGTGCTGATGTCCTTGGGATAATACTTCTTTGGATTCTGTACTTCCCCTCTTAGTACCAACACTAGCTTGCTTGCTTGCTTGAAGACATTTGTCTTTTCTTAATTTTTTTGAAGATTTCTTTCCTCCCCTAAGATTGTACTCCTTAATATTACTTAGTCTTTGAGCCTCAGGTTTGTCTCTAAAGCTCTCCTTTTGGGACAGACATTCTTCTTTTTGTTCTTGTTTCACCATGGAGTTAGGTTGACCACATCTTTTTTCCCCATCACCTGACTTGAGGAGTATTACACCTCTTCGAGCTTTAGGTACATAAAGTGCCATGTCAGGCCTTCTGGCTCGAACTCTGCATCTCTCTGCTTCTTGCTGCATGGCACCACCTCAATCTAAAAGAAAAAGACGGAATGATTTAATTACCAGAAAGTAATTACAATGTATTGAACCAAGATATTTTTAAAGACTAGGTAGAGGGCCCACTAATCCATCCTATAGAAACCCTCAAGTTAAAAGAAAGTAAAATCTTCCATAAAATAATTAATGCAATCAGGTAAGCAACTAAGGAAATTAAGTTCTAAAACAATTCATGAGCCCGTGAATTATACCTACCTATCTTCTTTCTTCATATTCCCCAAGCCCTTTACCTCCACCTCCCAGTCCTACTTTTTAACAAAAGGCCTTGTCTCAGACTAAATTAAAACACTGCTATAACAGTGACTGCCAGCTATCAAAGACTCATAAAATACAACTGTCTCCCTACTGTAGGAACTCAGAATTTACATTGAAGAGTATACTCAGAGAGAACCCCAAAAACATATTTGCTCCACATATATATATATATATACATGATATTTAAGATTAACTTACAGAAGTAACTTGAATGCCAGCTAGAAAATGAGACTATTAATCAAGGACTGCTTTCTAGAAGATGTTTCTGACCTATGTAATATTTTAGCAAAGAAATAGGTAGTGGGAAAGAGAGACATTATTCTATTAATACTTTTTAATCAAGTGACCTACTATAAATTTTTCCTCCTTCCAGCAGCAATAAAACAGGTGTGGATAGGATGAAGGAGGGTGGAGACCAAGGAATGTGATGAGAAAAGTCCACTATGGTTGATGAATGGAGTTACAAGGGGGAGAAATTTAATGACAGTTAAAAAGACCTTAATCTAGTATCTACAAGACACAAGCAATATATGCTAGACAATTTCATACTGAGTTATTGTTTTACTCTTCAAAATAATACTGTGAAATAGGTATTAGTTTGTCCAGAGCCAAGAGAATAAGTAGCTGGTATACAAAGCAAAAAAACACCCATACACACTCCAAAGCACCCAATGTTAATACTCACCACATACATGTCAAAGGAAAGAGATAGGATAGGAAAACTATTTTCAGATCCCTAAAATTTCTCCTGCTCCAGAACACCTCCTCAGTGAAGCAGCTCTGCTCTCACAGCACAGGCTATTTTCTCTTCAGCCATGGTATATACCATGGTCCAGTGATGCTCTTGTCCCTTTTCTCTTTTGATGTCTTATTATCTAGCCCATTATTGTTCATGGGTTCTCTCCCTATCTATTCATTTGTGGAAAAATATGACTTTAAAACTTAGCTATGCCAGGATTTTTCAAAAATGCTGACTTTCCAAAAATAGAAGTATTACAGTGTATTTCATTGAAAGGGATACCAATGAAGACATCTAGTATCCAAACAAGACATTTGTTTCTTGATCTTGGCAAAGCATCTGACAAAATACATCATGATGAACTATATGTAAGATGGTAAAATGTAGGCTACTTAATATAACTGGTAGGTGGTCTCATAACAAGAAGTAATAATAATGGGCAGAAGTGAATTTAGAGAGGCTTATTTTAAGAACAGTGCCCCCGTAGCCTTTTGGAATTTAATATTTAAAAAAACAATTTGGATGAAAAAATAACTTGGATATAAACAATAAACATTGAGTGCTTATTAAATCTGCAAATGACACAAGACTGATAGGATTAATAAGTACCAAAAATTATAAAGTTAGAATTTAAGTAACATTTCTACAATCTGGAACGCTGTGCTGAAAACAATATGAAGACATAAGAATGAATAAATATAAAGATCTACTTTAGGTTTAAAAAAAACAGTTGACTTCTGTGTAAAATTTGCACAAAAAACATCTAAAAGCTTTTATCTCATCTACAAAGTCAATAAAGGCCAAAAGGTAGTAGTGTGGATGTTTAGAAAGGCAACACAGTCTTAGATTACACAGAAACTATGCCATACAATGTAGGATTAAAGGAACTAAAGGTATACTCCTTGCCCAAAAAGGACTACAATGGAAACATCCCAGCTACCTTTATACTAACAGGTTGTTTGATCTACAGAAAAGACAAATTTTCTCTTCTAAGTTTCTATGCTTCTATACTATCAAGTAATGAACTCTGTCTCTAGAATTCTGTCTCTAGAATAATTTAAATACAGTCTGGAAAACTGACTGATTACACTAGAGAAACAATTTCTATCTGTATGGCAGATTGGTCTGGATTAATTTTAATCATTCTTCGAACTCTAAATATTCTGTTTCTCATTTACACCAGACATATATACCACAGATTTCAAATTTAAAATAATTATTACATGCTATACAACTGATGACATAAATTTTAAAACTCAAACCTTTTATATTAGTGCCCACATGTTGTCATTATATGTTTTCCTAAAGCTGAATAACAGTGTAATAAATTTGTTATTATCTAATTCTTAGCAAAACACTGAATTCAATTATGTCATGACCACCAGTGTTGACATGGGTTTAGCAACCAGCTTTCCAAGCGCAGTTTGGACAACTGGCTGACACTTATGTTTACATCAATCATGTCAACAATATGATTTCTTTGCTAACCTGGATCATCATTTTTGAATGGAAAATTATATCCTCTACTTTTTGAGTTATGCACAACGTAAGAGCTAAAGACATGACATTTTTCCCCATCACCTTAACTCTAGACAATCAAAAAACAAAAAATCAAGCCCTGACTTAAGATATTTGCTGATCTCTGTGGTGTAACTATTCCCAACATGGCTAATTCCAAGCTACCAGTGTGACATCACTGAACATGGAACTAGGAAAATTATACACAATATTTCAACATTATATGCAATAGTTCAACCATAAAGATACAATATATATATAAATAACTCCAAGGGTAAGTAACATAGTAAAATGTAGACAACTAATTAGGAAGGCATGAATTTTAATTTATTACCTTCCTATAAAAAGCATCATTTATTTACAATAAGGTATGTAATTTAATTTTAATAATGGCTATGTTCAAAAATCAGTTTGCAAAATTCCTAAAATTTTAACAATCAGCTCTTAGGCCAGAAGGCGATGCCCCAATACACCACTGGCTGTGACTTCCTTCAAAATACTCATCGACACACACACACAACAACAAAGGACATCCCCATCCTGTGGGCTTTCAAGATAATGCCAATTCAATTTAAAACCTTGTGTTTTCATGAATTTCCTTTACAATTGTAGGCATGAAAGGCCTTTAACATTGAGAGACAGGGTGCCTTTTATGTGCAGGTTTAAAATATATCTTGGATTAAAAGTTTCCCACCCAGGTATTTACTAAGAGCACTTGATATTTTCTTTCTCTCTTTAAACACAGTTTAATTTTTCACAATGTTGTAAGTGCTTTTATCAGTCCAATTTGTTTCTTAACTGCAAGGGAGAATCAGTTATTTGGGGGGTATATTTCACAGCTAACTTATCCTGGAATGGCCATCAGCATGCAATTCTATTCAAAATTACATTCCCTAAAGGGGATAAAAATTCATATTTCTTTACAATTGTGGGCAATTAATTGCTAATGTACACCTTTAAAATATTTAAGACAAATCATTTTTTATACTACTTTTGAACACTGGGATCATACATAAGCACCTGCCAAACTGCTCCTACAGTTTCAAATTCTCCTTAAAAGAAAAATAACTTCCTTTAAGTACCCTCTGACCCATACTCATGAGTAAGTGAACTAGCACAGAACAAATTAAGTTTTTATATTTTTGTAACAGAAAGTCAACACTGTCCACATTTGGTATCTGAAATATATGGATCTCTCTCCAATCAACAATAGAGAATATTGGCACTTAAGGTACTCACTGGATAATTCAATTAATTCAATCCAGTACTCACCAAAGGTTCAAATGAGACATCTGACATTTGAGAGAAGTGCCTAATGGGCATTTTAACTACTCATTATTTGAGAACAAATTCGCTAAGCTCTATCACTTAACTGGCTTATTAAAATGCATCATAACTAAACCATATATTTTTGTCTTAACTTTTTATTTGGAAATAATTTCATATGTACAGATAAGTTACTGATAAGCACCTGTACATCCTTTGCCAATATTTAGCTACTATTAACATTTTACCGCACTTGCTTTATCAGTTGAAATTGTGTGTTTCGTCTCTCCTTTCTCTCTCTACACATACACACACAATTTTTTTCTGAACCTTTTGAGGGCAAATCAGACATCATGGCCCTTTTACCCCAAATACTTTAGAGCATATTTCCTATAAACAGGTATATTCTCTTTCATAATCACAAGTTATCACTGTCAGCAATTTAACATTATACTTTTATCCAGTCTAACTTAAATATTACAGTTCTGTTAGTTGTCCCAGTAATATCCTTTACAGCATATTTCCAATACTGGATCCTAGATTAGAATTACATAATGAATTTAGTTACCATGTCTCTTTACCTCCTACATTCCAGAATGTTTCTGAGGCTTTTCATGGTCTTTTCTGACATCAACATTTTGGAAAACTCACACTCCTGGCCTTTTGTGTTGTTTTGTTTTGTTTTCTTTTGTTTTCTCTTCTTTTTCTTTAATAGGATTCATTTTTTTATTTTGGAATCATTAATCTACAATTACATGAGCAACATTATGCTTACTAGACTCCCCCCATCATCAAGTCCCCACTACATATCCCATTACAGTCACTGTCCATTAGTGTAGTAAGATGCTATAGAATCACTACTTATCTTCTCTGTGTTTTAGAGACTTCCCGGTGCCCTGCACTACATTATGTCTGCTAATCCTAATACACTTTTTCACTCTTGTCTCTTCCTTCCCACCCAACCTCCACAGTCCCTTTCACTTTGATAACTGTTAGTCCATTCTTGGGTTCTGTGAGTCTGCTGCTATTTTCTTCCTTCAGTTTTTGCTTTGTTCTTACACTCCACAGATGAGTGAAATAATTTGATACTTGTCTTTCTCCGCCTGGCTTATTGCACTGAACATAATACCCTCTAGCTTTATCCATGTTGTTGCAAATGGTAGGATTTGTTTTCTTCTTACGGCTGAATAATATTCC